TCTGGATCCCAAATTTGGACTAATAGCAAAGCCCTTATATAGGGCCTTAAAGGGACAGATGTGGAGCCCCTGATCTGGACCATAGACTGTCAAAGGGCCTTTGAAAAACTAAAGCAGAGTCTTATGACTGCCTCTGCTTTGGGAATGCCTGATCCAAGAAAAAAGCAAGGATGGGCCTTGGAGTCCTAGTGCAGATGTTGGGAGACATCCCACGTCCAGTGGCATGCTTGTCAAAGCAGCTGGATAATAATGTGAGAGGATGGCCTCCTTGCCTCCAAGCAGTAGCAGCTACTTGTGACGTGTTGCAAAAGGCCAAAAAATCCACTTTAGGACAACCATTGTAGTATATGCACCCCACCAGGTTCTGACTTTAATAGAACAGAAGGGAGGTTATTGGCTCACTCCAGGAAGGCTGGGAAAATACCAGGCCATCCTTTTGGATAATCCCAACATTTAATTAAAGATTGTGTCTACTCTCAATCCTGCCACCCTGTTACCAGCTGAAGAGAATGAGCCTTTACAATAAGACTGTTTAGAGATTCCGGAGGCTGTCTATTCTAGCACGACGAATCTGTCAGATCAGCCAATGCCAGCACCAAATTGGTATCTTTTCACCAACAGGAGCAGCTTTATGGGCAACAAAGGGCTGGATATGCGGTGATCACCGCAGTGGCACTGCCCCTGGGACTTCACCCCGGAAAGCTGAGCAGATTGCTTTAACCAGAGCTCTTCAGTGATCCAGAGGAAAAAAGGTAACTAAATATGCTTTTATGATTGTGCATGCTCAGGGTGCTATTTAACCAGAGATCTTCAGTGATCCAGAGGAAAAAAGGTAACTAAATATGCTTTTATGATTGTGCATGCTCAAGGGCATCTCCTGATAGCAGGAAATAAGAATATCAAGTATGCCACTGAAATAATGGCCCTAATACAGGCCGTGGCTGAGCCCAAGAGGGTGGCCAGCATGCACTGTCCTGGTCACCAAAAAACAAAAAATAAAAATAAAAAAGTGGGTAGGGAGACACTTATGTTGCAAAAAGAAATCAGGCTGCTGAAGGTTATCTGTTCCTCAGGGCCTTGGTACCCCAGCTAGATTCAGATCCCCTTTAAAACTAAAGACTGGGGCTCTGACATGTGGGATGACATAGCTAAATGGAGACAGAATTCTCAAGGACTCTTTCTCCTACCCAAAGCCTTGGTTCGGCCTCTTATGAGGCACCTCAAAATAATCCGAAGACAGAAAAGTGACCTGCTGCACAGGGAACCCAAGATGTGGGAATCCACCTTGTCAATAATTGGCAATTTCACTTAGATGCCTAAATTTGTATTAGTAGATTCCTTTTCAGGCTGGGTAGAGGCTTATCCTCCCCGAATGCAGAGAGCATCTGAAGTTACCAGAATGCTTCTGAAGGAACTCACTCAAGATGGGCTCCTACCAGCAGCTGCTGGCCCAGGACAGGGCCTTCGCCGAGTTCCTGCTCACGTATGCCAGTGCAGAGCAGGAACAGGCCTCGGAGGACAGTGGGGTGACGGGATCAGCAGTCCAGGGAAAGAGGCCAAGCAGAAGGAGAATGGCATGCTGGTAATGAATGCTGTGGGCAGCGGCAGAGACAGCTCAGCAGCAACTCCTCCTCCAGCAGGGATGTCAGTAGGCACCAGAGCAGCATGGCTGAGCTGCAGAAAACCAGGGCCAAGAAGGAAGAGATCTGGAAGCTGAAGGAAGCAGACAAGGCTGAGACAGGGAAGGTCAAGCTGTCCGTGTCCTGGGATTACATGAAGGCCATCGGACTGTTCATCCCCTTCCTGAGCGTCTTCCTCTTCTTGTGTAACCACGTTGCCGCCCTGGCTTCTGACTGCTAGCTCAGTCTTTGGACCGATGACCTCATTGTCAACAGGACCCAGGAACACACTAAAGTCTGTCTGAGCATCTACGGAGCCCTGGGTATTTTGCAAGATATCATGTGTTTGGCTACTCCATAGCCGTGTCCATCGCTTGGTGGGGGGGGGCGAGGGCGGATTCTCGCTTCCTGCGCCTGCTCCTGGATCTGCTGCACAATGTCGTGCAGGCACCCATGAGCTTCTTTGAGTGGACCTCCAGTGGGAACCTGATGAACCATTTCTCCACGGAGCTGGACATGGTGGTCTCAGTGATCCTGCAGGTCATCGGGATGTTCCTAGGTCCTTTCATCCACACAGAGTGATAATGAACCCTCCTTTGTAGCGAGTAACCCAGCAAGTAAGCAAAGCCCTACATCTAGAATGGAAATTGCATGAAGCCCATCTACAGTGGGATAAGGTGTTGCCGCTTGCCCTCCTCCAGATAAGGGTGACTCCTAGAAGCAGGCTTGAGGTAAGCCCCTAAGAAATAGTTTATGGGAGGCCCTTCCTAGCACCCTGAGGTATGTATGGTAACGTAACCATGAGTAAAGCAAGCAGAGTAAAGCAACATGTCAAACGAGTGGGTCAGATGCTGACTGCTGTGTAGGAGTTTGCCTCTTTCAGGTCCCCGCACCTGAAGCCCTATTGGAAGCAGATGCTGGCACCAGGCTTCCTGTGCAGCCTTGCAGAACTGTGAGCCAAATAAACCTTTTTTCTTTATAAATTGTCCAGCTTCAGGTATTTCTTTATAGCAACACTCCCACAATAATGATTTCTGGAGTGCCAGACTCACACTCCTGGGAAATAACTCTTTATTCTGGGGTCAAGAATTTAATTTTAATATTCTGAATCTAAATAAAAAGAGCCATTTATTAAACTCATAATGTGTCCTCTGCCTCTGTTATAGAAAGCAAACTACAGGTGTCCTTCTATTTTCTTTTTTCTTCTTTTTCTGTTGTTAGAGATAGGGTCTCACTCTGTTGCCCAGGCTGGAGTGCAGTCATGATTATAGCTAACTGTAATTTCAAATTGCTGGGCTCCTGCCTCAGCCTCCCAAGTAGCTAGGACTATAGGCATGCACCACCATGCCCAGCTAATTTTTAAAAATTTTTTTGTGGAGATGGGGTCTTGCTATGTTGCCCAGGCTGGTCTTGAACTCTTGGGCTCAAGTGATCCTCCTGCCTGGCCTCCCAAAGTGCTGAGATTACTGGCATGAGCCACTGTGCCCAGCTGTCCTTGGATTTTCTACTCCCAAATAATTATGATGGCTCTGGCCAAGTATGAAACTTTGGCATTCTTCTGCCAGGCTCTATGTTCACAAGCTTTTAAAACTTACGTTGAATAGGTAAGAGTCCGTCATACTTTTGATAAATTCAAGACAATGAAAAATTTCTGCAACCTTTTTGATATCTAAATCCAATTGTTTTAAGAGCACTTCCTGGTAGAAAATTATTCTTTAAAGATGAAACTATAAAAATCTTGCCCAGGTTTAAATTATTTCCTCCAATTCTGCTGCCAGTTGATATACATGTCTCGAACAAATTTTAGAAAACTGGGTTTGTGGAGGGAAGTAGACATGGGGAGAGTGCACCTCCAGCTAGATGTGTCCCTCCACTAGACAGAAGCCTTCACCCTGAGTACTGTCAGGAGCTCGCCAAGGGGTTAAAGGAACTGGCCTTGGGGCAGGTGGATCCAATCTAGGATCCAGCTGGGTGCACATGGGTGTGTATAAAGGATGAGATTGATTGGATGAAATCTAAGGGAAAAGACCAGTTATATTAAAAACTTTCCTTTCCTTGAATGCATTTCCATCAAACATTAGCCTCTGCCTGTTTGGATTGCCTGGAGGACAGGAGATGGGTGGAAAGAACTGGATAGCAGCCCTTCAGAGTGGGCTGTCATCCCTGACCCTGCAGTCAGGGCTCACCCTGGAAACCAGCCTTGGGATTTTTCTGCAGCTGGTCATGGGAGATGCCTTGGTAGCATGACTTCCTCGCCCAGCTCAGCAGCTTCCCTATGGGTGAGTGGAAATGAAGAGCTCCCTAGGTCTTAGGCATCGGGGGATCCCATGCTATTACTAAGGGCAATGGTGCCACGAAGCATTCAGCTGGGGTGAGACAAGTACGAAAAAAGACCTGCAGCCCATGTACATGCATTGCTATGCAGTGCACCACCTACCCTTCCTCTTCACCAGAGAAAACTGAAGCGATGGGACTTCTCATCCCAAATCCCTTTCCCCAGTCTCAGGTTGGATTCATGGAACCAGAGAAACTACTGGAGCTGGAAAGGATCATAGAGCCCACCTAGTCCAACCTGTTTTAGAGATGAAGAATTTGCAATCCATGGATGAAATCAGTTGCCTAAGGCCAGAGTTACTATTTTCCTCCCAGGCCTCATTTCATGAGATTTTTTTACCCATGTTTCTGCTTGCAATGTCCATACTATCAATGCACTTTGCCCAAGATACCACCAGGAATGACCCTAGATCCCTCCTCTAATAAAAGAAGTTTCCTTGGCAGTGGTTCCAGCAGCTGTGAACCCCACAGGTCGGACCATGTTGACGCGGCAATTAAGAGGCTTCATAATTCAATCCTGCACACCCTGTGAATTGCTGCTAATGCTCGTTGATTACTTCCATCTTGTATCTACTGTGACCACTCTCACTTGCTGGCACTCACCAGCTTGATTGGCTTATTTCCTTTGCCCGCAGGCCTTCCTGCTCAGGTACATCTGGGTGTGACTTCGTTACTCTTGGCCTACCCTGAAATGTTAACAACTTATACTGTCTAGAGCCAAAATCATAAATAACACCAGAGAAACAAAGTCAGAAATAAAACAAACACATGCAAATAAGTCTTCTGTTAATATTGTTATTAACACTGGTTTCTTAAAGTGGTCTTATCTCGTAAGTTTATCTGAAGCTGTGGTTTTTAGCAACTCAATCACAACACTCCCAACTGGGGAGGGGGGTGCCATGCCAGTGAGAAGAGAGCTTCAGATTTCAAGCATTTCCTGGAAACCTGTATTTACAAAGGTGAAGAAAGAAGATGTTGTTGTTGGCAAAGAACAGTCTTTAAACTTTTGTATCTGCTTCCTTCTTTGGGATGTCAGAGTTTATCCTGTCATTCAGCAGAATATGGAGACTTCATCTAAAATTGAAAATGAAAACGATCTTTGAGGAAAATCCTGTTTTGCAAATGAATCATTATTTATTGGATAGATAAGTCTATTGTCTACTAAATACTCCATAATCTTTCTATCAATTATTAAGTATTTACAAAAGTAATTGGGGTTGATCAGTCTAAAATAAAAGGCACCTTCAAGTAGACAGAAAACTGTTTTAAGAAAAAGGCCTCTTCATTCTACCAAAAACATAACAAGGAAATGGGTGCAACACATCACAAAAGTTCAGCTAGACATAAATAACTTAAGAAATTCAGGGCAATTGACATTGGAATAAGCCATCAAAGGACAGTGTGAATTTTCCGTCCCTGGAAATCTTCAAGAGAAGGACTAAAAATCACTTGATTTATAGCAAAAGACAAATCTTTTGGGGCTCAGGTCCCTGCAAGATTCTGTTATTCTGATATATATTCGATTTCATGTAAATTGGGCTTTGAACCTCTTGACAGTATTGGGGGACAAGAACAAATAGAGTAAGTCCTAAATAACATTATTACATTAAAGATTATGGCCAGGCATGGTGGTTCATGTCTGTAATCCTAGCACTTTGGGAGGCTGAGGCAGGAGTATAGCTTGAGATCAGGAGTTCAAGACTGGTCTGAGAAAGAGCAAGACCCCATCTCTACAAAAAATAGAAAAATTAGCTGGGTGTGGTGGCATGTGCCTGTAGTCTCAGCTACTCAGGAGGCTGAGGCAAGAGGATTGCTTCAGCCCAGGAGTTTGAGGTGGCAGTGAGCTATGATGACAACATTGTACTCTAGCCCCGGTGACAGAGGGAGAACAGAACTTGTCTCAAAAAAATAAAAAATAAAAAATAAAAAAAAGATTATGACCCAGTTCTCAAAAAGAAGACTATTATGATGCTATTGATTGTTACTCATATACTACTTGAAGAGGCTCCAGATTCTAGTAGTGCAAGTAACAAGAAAAATTAGAATTTATGGTGCTTGAACTGTTAAAATATATATTAAACTAGACTTGTAAGTATTGACTGATAAATGTTGTTTGCTAAAGTGGAGAGAGTGGTGGGGCGTGAGGGGCCGTGGTGGAAGCAGGGATAATTGTGCCTGAGTGGGGTATGGGAACATTTTGCCCTCTGCTGGTCTTTGATGGAAAGAACTGAAAGCAGTTCAAGTAAAGGAAGGTGTCTGCTTTCAATCTGGGGAACATCAGCAGTACACAGGACCAAACCAACACCCCTGGGGTTGTGTTCAGAACTTGTTCCAGTAAACATGCTTTATCCCTGCCCGGGCAGTACTTCAGCCCCTTTGATTCTCACACCACCTTTGCTTCACCGGACATGCCCCTGACCAACAATGGAAAAGAAAGGGAACATACTGCAGTTTCAATTGTTGTGGGACTCAGGTTTTCTCTCAGCACTGCATATACACTTGGAGACATGGGCAGAAGGTCTGATGGAGAATGGGGCTCAGTTGAATCATTTCGGCTAAAAGAGACAACCAGATAAATATTGAAAAGGATTAGAAAATGACAGCCCGTGGTGACTTTCTGTGTCAGGAACTCATTTCTAGGGCTTCATCTGTTTGTGACACTGAGCTGTCTAATTCATCATCTCCTATCAGAGCATTCAACCTGCTATGGAATATATGGTATATAAAAGGGCAACTTTATAATTCCAGTCATAAGAGACCGGTAAGTGTGCCCTGAAGACTAGCTTTATGTATTAATATTAAAGGAAATGGGACAGTGGGCATTAAAATGCTTTATTCTCAGTTATATGTATTGTGCTCTATCCTTTAATCTCCTATAGGAAAGCTTTTATTTAAAAAAATTAAATAATAAATATTTAACATGTGGCTAAGATTACTCACATCGTTGAGATGGGGATAAAAACTGAAGGAACATAACCTTTGTCTCCCCTTTCTGTTGGTCTTGAAACTGGAAAAGAAAGGCACAATGTTGGTAAAAAATGTTATCAGTATTATTGATAAAACTGGGGGGAAAAAGTCTAGAAAAATATCAGCAACGCTAAAAGGAAGAGAGATAATATAGTTGTTCAGGATTCACAAAGATGTTTAGCTGAATAGAGGAAACAGTCTTTTAGATAAACATAAATGTGCAAGATGAGAAAAACAAATATCTTGGCAGGCCTAATCTGACTTTACATAAAATGTGTAGGAAAAATTGAGAATCAATTATATACCTGTCTTCTAGGTTACCTTTAAAGCTTGACTATAAGGACTAATTTAGTCATGTATTGGGAGACATATAATAACCCAGTTGTTTTCATTAAAACTGATACCAATTAGAAGCTTATGATTACAAAAATTTTTGAGGCACAGACATCAGTGTTCTTGAAAGTACCACTGCACTGTGCAAACCTCACTGTGGAAACATTCCCCAAATTTCTCTCGTATACCATCTTGAACAAGAATTTGATCCAACTTTCCAGCTGTAATTTGTTGTATTGATATTTGCTATTTCATTCAACCAGATGTAGAAAGTCACTTAAAAGCCACAGGATTTTTTGTTTTCTTTTATATTTTTGTTTGTTTGTTTATTTTAGAGGGGATGAAGCAGCAAGTCACCATCTGTTAGTGGCAACTGAAAGATATTCTAAAAGAGGGTGCCCAGATATTTAGTTGTTATAGATGAAGATTTTTATGGATGGTATATACTTTCATTAAAGAAACAGAATGGTGAGCTGACCTTACAATTAAATAGCAATTTCGTGAATTTTCTTTCATGTATTTAACAAACATTTACTGAATGCCTATTTTGTTCTAGGCCCTTAGGATACAACCAGGAAAGATAGGCTGAGGGTTGAGGGAAATGAGGCACAGACCCCCAAGTCACTTCTCTAGCAAATGAACCAATTCTCTGAGTTGTAAAACTACAGTAAGGTTAAAAATATAAAACTTATAAACCCTGGGGCTACTATGCAAAATACAGACTTGTCTTACTTTTAAAAGTGTCTAACCATTCGTTACCGGCTCTCTCTTTTCCTTTCCCCCAGCCATAGAAGTGATGTCAGTATCACTCTTATTTTACAGAGGAGAAGAGCATGGCCATGCTCGGTGAAGTCTAGTTTTAGCTACTGCGTGTTACTCTGCTAGTGTTCGACAGCCAGCGGTCCCTTCGCAGGAACTGCTGCCATACCACTTCATTTCTAAGGCTTTGACCTCCATACGCCCCCTAGATCTTCCAAAGATCAAAGTAAACAAAGAGAGGAACTTCGTTTACTTTGCTCCAATATGAGGTTATTTTCCAAAATCTTAAGAAAAAAGCAAACACGAAGAATCTAACCTTCACATGGCTGGGAGCTGTAGTGTTTACCAAAAGCTTTGTCTTTGGGAATGTCAGGATATAGGTACTTCAGAGGGTTTTCCGGAATGTTTTCAGACATAATAACCTTGTAGTCTCGAAGGATGTCAGCGAATGGCAGAGCGGACAACCGGCCTTTATTGTAGGGTTCCACAGAGTGGAATCTCACTTCTCCTTGAACAACAGAAATCAGAGGAATATACAGGTTTCTGCAGGCATTCTTTGTGATCATTCTTCCCACCCGCATTGTCTTCAAGTCACTGGTTATAAGTCCACGTCAGACCTTCTGCAGTCTAAACAGACTGCAGATCATGCATGTGATAGAGGGTGACCACACAGGCTTTTAGAATGGGTACCCTGTTCTGGGACAACTGCAACAGGTAATATTCAAACATACTGAACACATGATAAACAGATCCACACACTTCCGAAAACTGAAATCCCAATAACCAAACCCGAGGAAACTGAATGCACCTGAATAAACAGTAGTGAGTATATACCATTTTCAGAATGGTCCACCCAGGTGAAAGTTATGCCTCCGAGATGGCTTTCACTGAATCTTAACAAAAAGGTTCCAGGCATTTTATCCTTTAGCAAGAGCCGTTCCTTCTCTTTGCTAACAAAGCCCATGACATACCTAAAAATAGAACAGTGCATAGATTTATCTAATCGTTACTGCATTCACAAGGAGCAGACCTAAAGTTTGTTTGGAGTATAATCAAAGGTCATTTGTACCTGAAGTACTTACTCATATACAGATTAATAATATATCAATACTCTGCGAAAAATGTAAGAAATTGCAACCGTTTTTTTCTTATGACACTAAACATGCTCAAAAACCGGCTCGCGCTCCCCACCCGCCGCCTGCGGGCCTCCGTCAGTTCTCTCCTTAGTCCGCGATCGCCTCTCTTCCGTTACCGGCTCTCGTGGCTGAGCTTGCGACTGGCGGACAGGAGTCCTCGGCAGGAAGAGGCCAGACTCGGAGTCGTCGCCTGAGCCTTTCATCTCAGAAATTCAAGGTACTTTGTACAACTTCTGCCACCCAGGCCGTGCATCCTACAGGGCATTCGTAAGCCATGGTTGCCATCAGGAAGAAGCTGGTGATTGTTGGTGACGGAGCTTGTGGCAAGACATGCTTGCTCATAGTCTTCAGCAAGGACCAGTTCCCAGCGGTGTATATGCTCACGATGTTTGAGAACTATGTGGCAGACGTCGAGGTGGATGGAAAGCATGTAGAATTGGTTTTGTGGGACACAGCTGGGCAGGAAGATTATGACCGCCTACGGCCCCTCTCCTACCCAGACACTGATGTTATACTGATGTGTTTCTCCATCGACAGCCCTGATAGTTTAGAAAACATCCCAGAAAAATGGACCCCAGAAGTCAAGCATTTCTGTCCCAATGTACCCGTCATCCTGGTTGGGAACAAGAAGGATCTTCGGAATGATGAGCACACAAGGCAGGAGCTAGCCAAAGTGAAGCAGGAGCCTGTAAAACCTGAAGAAGGCAGAGATATGGCCAACAGCATTGGCGCTTTTGGGTACGTGGAGTGTTCAGCGAAGACCAAAGACGGAGTGAGGGAGGTTTTTGAAATGGCTACAAGAGCTGCTCTGCAAGACAGACGTCGAAAGAAAAAATCTGGGTGCCTTGTCTTGTGAAAGCTTGCTGCAAGCACAGCCCTTATGCAGTTAATTTTGAAGTGCTGTTTATTAATCTTAGTGTATGACTCCTGGCCTTTTTCATTTATCTTTAATTTACCTAAGATTACAAATCAGAAGTCATCTTGCTACCAGTATTTAGAAGCCAACCATGACTATTAATGATGTCCAACCCATCTGGCCCACCAGGGTCCTTCTGACACTGCTCTAACACCCCTTTTCTGCACTCCGCCTGACACACCAGGCGCTAATTCAAGGAATTTCTTAATAACTTCTTGCTTCTTTCAAGAAAAAGAAACAGTTGGTAACTTTTGTGAATTAGGCTGTAACTACTTTATAACTAACATGACCTGCCTATCATCTGTCAGCTGCAAGGTACTCTGGTGAGTCACCACTTCAGAGCTTTACTCCTTAACAGATTTCATTGACATAGCTCTGGGGTGAACATCCGGTTTTTTGAACATGTGCTCAGCCAGAAGGGCCCAAGTCCATGCAGCTGTGGCAGAGTTACAGTTCTGTGGTTTCATGTTGGTTACCTTACAGTTATTGTGTAGTTAGTGCCACTTAATGTATGTTACCAAAAATAAATATATCTACCCCCAGACTAGATGTAGTATTTTTTGTATAATCGGGTTTCCTAATACTGATATTTGTCATCCCTGAAGAAAGTATATTGGTATATTGGTTTATTAAAAAAGAAAGTGTATTTGGAAATAAAGTCAGATGGAAAATTCAAAAAAGAAAAAAAGAAAGAAAGAAAAGAAAAGAAAAAAAACAGGAAAAAACCAATAACAACAGGAAAAAAATATAACTTAATTAACTCATATGGAAAATGTAGCCTGTAACTCACCCATCGATCCAGAGGGGAAGAATGTGTTTCTTAATTAGATCCAATATTGCTTCAAGCCATGTCCAAAAGGTGAAAGATTTACCAGGTAAGTGTTCCTATGGAATAAACGTGCACATTAGGGCAGTGATCATTTAAGTGATATTGGTATAATAATTCAAGTTCCATGTTTTAATAAAATATTTTCTTCAAACTGGAAAACACTTTAGTTTCTTTTAAAAATATCCTTATCCAGGAAATCCTTAAACCTCCAGCTAATGATTATGGAGGCTTAGAAAGGAGCATTATATTAAAACAAAAATAAAAAACCTAAATGATGTTCCCCCTTCCCCTGTTTGTACCTTGCAGAACTTGGCCCAGGTGAGGTGACCATCGCTGTAGCTAGATTGGACTAAAATAAAAGAAAAGAATTAGATTGTTTTATTTAATAATGAGATTCTTCAATTTTTATGCTCAATTTAGATCCTCCCCTTTCAAGCATTTCTTAAGCACCTGCTGTGGGTTTACAGTGTACTGAGTGCTAGATACAGTACAAATGTATCATCCTTGTGCCTAAGAAATTTATTATCTAGGAAAGAAGGTTTTCGATGGAGGAGCTAATGATGGCTGTAGGCACAAGTGGATGCCTAGAACCTGGCCTCCATGAATGGGGGCGGGGCGGGGGTGATATAAATTGTCAGAGGAGAGGAAGGAGTCCACTCCAGGGAGCAAGACTAAGGCAGGATGAGGATGAGGTGTGGTGGACATGAGCATGGCTCCTGTAAGAGAGTAAGAGCAGCCTAATGTTGGTGAATAAACATTTTAAAATAAATCTGTATAAGTTAGGTGTAGCCAGATTACCAGGAACCTTGCCTATTAAAATGAAAAGAATGTACTAGCAATCTATTAGGCAATAAGCAGCCATTGGCTGTTTTGATCCAGAACAGTGAAAGGATACAAGAGTTTCTACTTAGATTTTTAAGGAAATTATACTCAAAGAATAATTTGTTAAAGATTTGAAAAGATATGGTTGCTATCTATACTACATATTTAAAAGCCACTCTAACAGATATTTATTGAATGTCTCCTATTGCTGTTCATAAATAAGGATCGAAAACATATTTATATTAAGCCAATTTTATAATACTTCCCAAAATCCTGATTTATTTAAATACCTACTGATTGAGGCCAGGCGCGATGGCTCACGCCTGTAATCCTAGCACTCTGGGAGGCCGAGGCGGGAGGATTGCTTGAGCTCAGGAGTTCGAAATCAGCCTGAGCAAGAGCGAGACCCTGTCTCTACTATAAATAGAAATAAATTAGCCAAACAACTAAAAATAGAAAAAATTAGCCGGGCACGGTGGCACGTGCCTATAGTCCCAGCTACCTGGGAGGCTGAGGCAGAAGGATCGCTTGAGCCCAGGAGTTTGAGGTTGCTGTGCGCTAGGCTGATGCCACAGCACTCCAGCCCAGGCAAGAGAGTGAGACTCTGTCTCAAAAAAAAAAAAAAAAAAAAGTAAATATCTACTGATTGGATAATAGGTGCAAGGGGCAAGCATCCCAGCATCAGACGTGGGTCAAGCTTAAATCACACGATTCTACTGTTGCTGTACAAATGCATCTTTGGCCCTACTTTAATTAGAAATGCACAGAGATCCAATTTTAACTCTTTTTTGGTGCCAAATATGTTCACCCCAGATGTGTCAAAACACAGATCTCTGTTAAAATTCTTTTAGAAAAAGCTTAGACTATAATTGGCACATGTAGTACCAATGACTTAAGCTACAAACTTTGTTGATAATGCAGAATTAAGTTTTCCTGGGGTGGTTTTTTTAAGTTTCTATGACATTTCCTAGATCTGGTGAAAGAATCATTTTCCAGTTGGTTTGTGTCAACTGAGCATTAATATGAAAGATCAAGTCACCATTAAGGCTTCACATCACATTCACGGGAACCGGCCTAAGCACTCCCTGGAGGCTGGTCTGTGGAATGGACAAGAAGGGGCTTTGGACCTGGACAGGCCTGGCCAGTGGCTTGGCACTGCTGTGTACCAGCCATGCAGCCGTGGCAAGTCACGGCACCTCTGTACTCCACTATACTCGTCTACAAAACTGATAGAATCATGTTGGCCTCGAAGAACTTTTGTGAGAATTAAAGATATTATAGCACTTAGCCCTGTGCCTGACAACATAGTAGGCACTCACTAAATTGAGATAAGCGTTGTTATTATTAATATTGATACTAACAGTACTGTTATCATCGTGGTTCTATAAAACACTTGAATAACAAAGAATAGGCAGATACTCCCTATACACCAGCTCTCACCTGTAAGCTTCTCTGCCAGCATATTGAGTTGGTCAGAATTAAGGCCACGACCAACGTACGATGAAAACTGCCAGCTCATCACTTCCAGGAGTTGACTCAAAGTGGCAGATGGAGGGTTATTAAAGAAAACCAAGTTCTGAAATAGAGTTACGAGGATGATGATATTTGTTAGTCACACTGATTTAAACTCTTTAGGCCGACCTAAGTTAACAATACAGAATATAGTCCCATCTCTGTTGTTATTTTTAAGATTGATTTTGTCTTTTTCTAAAGGGCTTCTTGTTCCTTGAGTCTAATGTAATACAGGGCTCCATCTTTCTTGAATCACTTGGCATCTCTTTAACTTCTCCCTATCAATCAACTCTTTCCAGTACTTAACACTGTCCAGCGAATAATTGGACAGATACTCTCTTTTGAAATAATATTAACCTTAAACAAAACTTATATCATGTTCTTTAATGGGTTTATTATGGGCTGGCACACATTTTACCTTGACCAGACAAATCATCCCAAAGTGCAAGAAACAGTTAAGTTCCAGGCTAAGGAAGGTGACCCTACAATGTAAATTTATGATTAACCTCAGATTCCTGTCCTATGGATAGTATAGTAATGTTTTATCCTTTTGCTTTAGATTAGAGAATTAAAAAAAAATTTTTTTAGAGACCAAGTCTTGCTATGTTTCCCAGGCTGGACTCAAACTCCTGGGATCAAGTGATCTTCCTGCCTCAGTCTCCTGAGTAGCTGGGACTACAGGCTTGTGTGAACCCAGCTAGATAAGAGAATATTTTGTATGATCAACTACAAGCAAGGTTGTTTGTGCCAGAAACAGGGTCAGCGACAGTGGAACAGAAGACTTTGTCCCAGATTACAGGAAAATAGGCAGGCGTGAAAGCCAAGAAAGGTGTTCTAAGAGGAGGAGAAGAAGAATTTGGAAATCCAGCATGGTACCCAGAGAAAGCCATTGGTAAGCGTGAGCTAAACTGGGCTTAGATCAATCAAGAAAGAACCAATGCAAGAGATTTCAGAAGGTGGGAATAAAACATGACACAGCATCCAATAAGGAGTGGTAGTTGGGAAGAGGAGGAATAAAGAGAAAGAATTTCTAGGGAGGCAGTTTTCCTTGAACCTGAAAACTGAATTTGGAAAAATGACCAGAAAGCACAGACTATAATCAAGGCCTAAGAGAATAGATTTTGAAGCAGGATAGAATTAAGAAGAGAAACCAAGGTTCGTTGTTCAGCTTGGCTCTGTAACGAGGCTGTGAAATCTGTTTAGGAGCTGCATGTGATCTATATCTCCGGATTCTCACCCTGGGGCTGAGTAAATCTGGCATGGTTAGTGTGACGACTGGTGGCTTTCTTCTGGAAGGAGTTTGCTGAAGAAAGCTAAGGGCAGTGCTGCTCTCTGAGACTGGAGGACAAAGTACTCCATCACCCCTCCTATGCCCTGGAGCTGGAAGAAAAGCTAAACAAAGATCGTAATGGGGACCAGCATTTAATCTCAGGGGCTTTGGTTGTTCTTGGCTTTAAAGACCAGGCAGGTTTTCTAGTAAGCTCTGCTATTTTGGGTGCACTTCATGCAGCCTTCCTCTCTGCAGTTGATCTGTCTTAGATACCAGGGCACCTGAGGATGAGAACGAATAGGCTGCATCATTTTCCATGTTCTTTCCTTATTAGGAACACTGAAGTAAAGGGAAAGAACACGTAGAGCTGACTCATTCTGGCTTTGTTCTTATTGTTGGGACCTAAAGTAAAAAGAATTCTTCCCTTTGGAGGGAACAATTTGCTTTGAATTAAGAAGAAATGTTGTTATTTACATTTGACCTATTTTCTCTAGACCTTGGTGGTTTCCAGGACAACATTAAGGTTTTGTCAGAGGAGAGCAAGGGGAAGTGCTGACTCATCTTTGACACTCCCTTCCCTGGTTGTCTTATAAGAGCATCTATTCTCTTCTTGCTTTGTGACTTGAAGCCAATTTTGGGTAAGTGCAGCAAATAACCACCAGATGGCATTAAAACCCAGCTTGAGTCCAGGATGGGTGAAATCTGTAATCAATTTGAAATTTTGTGCTATCGCAATACGTTTAGGCAAGATTGATGAATATTCTAGCAACTTATTTGGAAACAAATTCTCTATAGAGGAGAGTGTGTGGACAAAGTGGGGCCAGAAGCAGCTGAGGTCGTCAGATATCAAATTCTGGGACAAGAAATTTCCACGCTGCTTAGTTAACAGAGCTATACGATGATGGCCCTAGAACTCTCTGTGATGCACGTAGTTGGCAGCTGACCAGACTCTCAGAAATTACAAATAACTGTTTGTTACTTTTGCTGGCCAGGATGCTCTCAGGGTCCAAGCACACTGGAATATATTACCTTAAATATGATGTGAGAGAAATCATACAACTAGAAATAAAGCAGCCCCCAAATCACACACAGACACACGTACATACATACATACACACGCACATCCATACACACACTCACACATACACCCCTTTTGATGCAGATGGGTTTTTCTGACAATAAAATACAACAGAATTAAAAGAGGAGAGATAGGAATAGACTCTACCTGGGAATCATTGGTTGACACATTGTACCAAATGATGGACGCCCAAGCATTAGGTAACTGACTGACATTGGAAATCATCACCACAGGTAATGAGCTGGTCTGGTTTGGAAAAAAAAGTATAGTCATTACAGGTAGTCCCAACTTACACAGATCTTACACTCAACCCTCTCCTCTAAAGGGCCATCTCAAGCCAGCCCCACTCCTCTAATCCTGATGTCCATGCTGCCCTGGTCACTAAGACAACTTGTGAAGGCTGTGGAACTTTCTGAGCATGTCTGAATAAGGGTAGAGGGAGGAAAGAGCAAGAATCCTTTCAACGAGCTCAGTCAGGCAGCTTCCCTAATATCTTCCCTGGCATCACATAAATATTTATACTTTCTTATGTCATATACTGCCTCCAATGTAACTAATTAGAGTCTATTGAATTAGCGACTGTCCTCGTTATAAGTTACATTAAAGAATATGCCTTTAAATTGATTTCTGGAATGAATCAGTATCTTCAAATTATGGCCTAACACCTAATTAATGTCAATACTAGAAATGGGAGTTTTTATTATAAAAGATGGAAAGGTAAGCTATGGGAGATAGAGCCACCTAGTCTATTGTTGCAGAACTCAATTTAGTACTATTAATACTGTGGTTTTCTAGTTTACAGAATAGACAGGTTTTCATAGTCTAGCCTGGGAAAGTAATCAATTTATAGCAATCCCTTTCCAATAATAGACCATCAGATTTCTGTAGACAGCGAAATACCCAGTTGAGAAACTGTAGCTCATGGAAACAAAGGTTTAGGGAATAGAGGTAAGGCAGGAATCTATGAAAAATTTTACAAACGTTTACATTCATTAGGATAAAAGCAAAGGCAGAATTCTAAAACAATACACTCCACAAATAGGATCACGTTCAGGGTGTGTGAAATTATGCATGTTCATTCATGTACTCATTTGTTCACTTATTCAACAAATATCGAGCATGTGCTGTGTGCTAGGCCCTGACAGTGAAGTGACAAACAATGCATGATGTCCTGCTGATGGGGAGCTCATAGTCAATCATGTCTAATTCCATCCCCAAAGTTGCTTTATTTTTTCTTTGAGTTCAATGGTGACCATCATAAGAAAATAAAACAATGCACTGTAATGTTCCTATCATTTGTCTTTGCTCTTTATGTTAGAGAAAGCTTCCTTCTGAGAGATCTTTATGTACAAGTTAAATTTTTGAAAATATATCACCACAAAAAAAAAAAAAAAGAAAAAGAAAATATATCATTAAGGATACTTATTTCTCTTTCCACAGAGTAATCATGACTCAGGAAATCCCAGAAAACAAACAAAAATGCAACCTGAACAACAAATTATTTAACATATATTGAATTCATAATACCCATGAGATTTTATCATTTATATTTAACCAGAATAGTATGTTAACTATTTAGTGAGATTTGACATATTGCTTTTATAACTTAAAACAAAAATAATGAATAGGGAATGTACTAAAACCTAGAAAAGACCAAGCTTTCATCTACAAATGCTGACCAATTCCTGCAGATATTGTTAGTAAATAGTAGATGTTCCTCAAAACACCTACCTCCAAATCTATGGTCAGCCCATAGAGGCAGATCTGTGTTTCAAAGGTTATGGAATGAAGCTCTTCAGTCACCATGTGACAGCCCTAAGGGAGAAAGAAATAAATTATCCTACAAATGCATACTCCTATGTAATATTAGACCCGTTTTTATACAAATTAATAATGCTCCGAAACATTCCCTAATATTGAACATTTCCTCTTACTGTTTAAAAAATTAATATACAGAGTTCGAGAAATCTTCATTTCCACAAACAATGATTTTAAGTCTCCAATACGAGATAATTTCTGGCTTTTGAAATTCTAGCATATTTTCTTTAATTGAAATTTAGACAAGTGGTTCTTTGTGTTTAGGCATCAAGTTGAACAAAAAATGCATTTTTAAACATCAGAAAAATCTCACTGTCCTTTGGGGAGGGGGGCTTACACTACACAAAACACAAGACAAATGAAGAATTTACAACTGTCATTTCATATTCACTAATGGGTGACTTTCAAATTCTTACTGAATTCCACAGTGGACAAGATGACACAAGCCTGTGCAGAACATTCGAGAGGCCTCAGGCAAGCACATAGATGGAAACCCAATACCATATGTATAAATGCTTCACCATTATAAATCAAGTTAAAATATGGTCTACCTTCCTGCCTTGACACATAGCCTTCACATAACCTGATTGCCCAGGTTTTAGCTACTTGAAGTCCTGTTGGGACATGGGAGCATGGATAGAGCATGTGTTGCTCCATAAATTAATATTACTATATTAGAGACAGAAATGGTCTCAGGAGTTTTGCAGGGCTTTGCCCTGAAGGAACACGTGAACGTGTTAGTTTGCATATCAAAAGCTGCTTCACCTCAGGAGGGCACCTCAAAGGTCAGTGGCAGCTGCTTTCCAAGGTGATGCTGCAGTCTCAAACCTGTGGTTCTCGCCTGCTTTGAACGACAAAGCAGGTCTGCAAGGAGCCACAGGATGAGAGCTGATCAAAGAGTGCCCGCCTGAGAGACGGCTAAAATCAATTAGCCCAAGGGAAAGTTCCTGCTTGAACTCCTGACTACCTGTCTCCATTTGCAATAACTAGATAAAGAAATATGGAGCCACTATATCTCTGTTTAACCTTTCTGCTAAGTGATAGCTTTATCTTAGAACTTAGAAGTTTGTATTTGAAAGATTTTGTAAACATTTGTTCACGTAGATAAAGTTAGTTAAGGGATCTAAAGAAGCCTTTTGAAATATTTTTAACCTAAAACGATCTACCTGTCATTATGTAAATCTGTTACCCCTGGCAACCGATCTCTGTACCTATAAATACCCATGTAAAACTTCATTCGTGGCCTCACAATTGACGGGGATATTCTTAAGGACCCCCGAGTACCCCTGTTTTGCCTTTTATCTTTATAAATCTATAAAACTATACCTTTCGTCTCTGTGTATTCTTTTATTTCTATTATTTTCCATTTTATATTATTTTCTTATCCTTTGCGACGATCCCTGCCTAAGGGACCCGATTTTTTGCTGGAAGCGTAGCTAACTCCCTGCAGCATGGCCACTCTGGACCTTTGCCTATTCCCTTCTCTTCCACGTCTCTGAAGGGCCTTGAATGACGAGGGAGGCCCCTAGGCCTCTCCTTACACCTAGAAATGTTTGCATTGATGGTGCCATCTATGCTTGGGAGAGTTGACTTGGAGAAGAGGCTCACACAGGCCCTGGAAGTGGGCTTGAGGTATTTTAGGATGGGAATTCTGAGGCCCTGGACTCTGGGTGAACATATTGCCTCAACCTCACAGATGACTTTCTTTGTAGGGAGGGCTGAAGCTGGAGGATGGCCATGACTATGAGGTCCCATGATACTGTGATATATAATAATAAGAAATATATTATTTTGTCTCTGCCCTCAGTTTCTGAGACAAAGCTTCTAATATCTTTGCAGATAGGGGTACCAGATGAATCTTTTGTTCTAAAATTTGGTCTTTGACCCTAGTTCTGGACACAGAGCTCCTAAGACCTTTGCAATTTCCTGAATGATAAGAGTGTCTGACACAGAGCTCCTAAATCCCTTGGAATTTTCTGGGTGATAGGAGCATCTTTTGTTCTCATGCAGTGAGTCTTGGTGGGCTTCTGGATAGCCTCAGGATGGTGGCTGGTTGCCAGGGAAACCAACCATGCAATTAAAGGGTTAGAACTTTCAGCCCCACCCTTCAACCTCTGGGGAGGGTAGAAGGGCTGAAGTTTGAGTTGATCAGCAATGGCCAATGAGGTATTCAGTCACGCCTACATAAAGCCTTCATAAAACCCCAAAAGAACTAGGTTCAGATGAATTTCCAGATAGCTGAACACATGGAGGCACCTGGAGAGTGGCAAGGCCTGGAGAGGGCATGGAAGCCCTGCACCCCTTCTCACATACCTTGCTCTACCCATCTCTTCCATCTAGTTGTTCACCATCTCTTTTTAACATCTTTCATAATAAACCAGTAAGTAAAATGTTTCCTTGAGTTCTGAGAGCTGCTCTAGCAAATTAATGGAATCTGACGAGGGGGCTGTGGAAACCTCCAATTTATTGCTGGTTGGTCAGAAGCACAGGTCACAACCTGGGACTTGCAACTGGCATCTAAAGTAGGGAGCAGTCTTGTGGGACTGAGCCCATATCCCGTGGGGATCTGATACTCTTCAGGTAGACAGTGCTAGAATTGAGTTTAGCTGTAGGATACCCAGTTGGTTTCTGCTGGACATTTGGTTGTTAGTGGGAAGAAGTCCCCACACAGCTTTGGTGACCAGAGGTGAGGTATTCTGTACTGAGAGTGAAAGTAGAAAAAACTGTTTTTTCTCTTACAGGTCCCATCCTCCCCCCCATTCTAGCCACTATAGTTTAATTTATATGATTAAGTATACATATGATCATTCAGTAGGGACAGTTTTCTCAGCTCTTTGAATTATGGCACCTGTGTGTTCACCCAAACAACAGCGTCTCAAAAAGCCTGAGAAACCAGGATTCCACAGACAGAAGAATGGCATTCAAGGTTGTCTACTAACAGTGGAAAAAGACTTCATGTTTTAGGTATTACTTTACTGAATTGGAATGTGGATTGTGAGAGGTTTCTTAGTGATTCAAACTAATTTCTAATATTTACTTAAAACCTCTGACGCCACTGTGAGGCACATTTAGAACTGAATCCGGCAAGAAAGCGGACATACAATACACATGACTGGAGAAAAGAAACTCTAACTAAAGAATTAATGACCATCATTAATTTTCAAAGCATGAGTAGCCATCAATCATAGTCTTTATTATTTTCTCAGTGCAGTCCAAGCCAGAGACATTATTCAATTTTACATTCCCAGGTTCCATTCCTTATGGATTGGGAAAGTATCATACATAACATGTATCATTAATGTCTGTATTAAAAGCCATCCTAATCACCTAAGATGGTTACAGATTTAAAATATCCATATTTATGATATTTACATTCTATGGCACTACATATTATAACTGAACTGGTGGAACTGTACTTCTAAAGAAAAATACCTGTTGCATAATCTGCTAAGAAACTGGACAACTGACCAAGCAATTTAACCAGGGCTCTACCTGGAAAAAAAATGTATAACCTAATGAAAGGCAAGTCTCAGTGTCACCATATTCTTTTTGTTTCCTCTGCTTGGTGCCTAATGGTACACCCTGGAAACCTAGAATACATTAACAAATAGTTATGCCTTTTAACTTGAAATAAAGCCTCTGCTAAGAAAAACATGACTGAGATAAGGATGATTTTCACCCAAATTTCTGCTCAACTCTTGACAAGCCATAATTTATGATAATGTTTCACATAGAAAACTATGTAGTATAGAAAACAATTAAAATAATCCATGGATTATTAAAATAATCCATGAGTGAATACTTATTGAACATCTACTATGTGCTAGATGCTGGAAAACAGAAGAGGGGAAGAATGGTATAGTCACATGAGAGAAAGCCTTTAATCACAGAATCGTAAGTGGGGAATGTAAAATGACAGCTACGCCTAGCCTGTAAAATAAGGGTTCTGTATGGATGCTGTTGCATTCTAAAAGTCTAAGTTTTTAGTCATAAACTTGTACTAATTTCTCCCTTTAAAAAATGTTGCAACTCCTTAAATTAGTTCTTAAGGAAATCAACTTGCTGTGTAAATGCTTGGGCTATTGGTGGTGTGGGTAGTGTCTGTTTGAGAACACTGAACCTTGAAAGAACATCTGTTTGGCTATTTTGTTAAATGAAACCCAAGTCACCCAGGCTTTACTAATAGCTTCATTGTGTTTCATGACTTTCCACTGCATACACAAAATTACCCAACACCTCAATCTGTGGCTAAAACTGTCATTTATCAGTTAAAGCCCACTGACAAAGAGTGAACTGGAGAGACTGCAATTTCAGCTTCCTTATTCAAACAGTTTTCACATTTCAACAATCACTCTCCAGTCAGCTCTCTGCCAGATAAAGACCTCCAGGGAAAGGTTGCTTCCTGGGAATGTTTATTTTGCAGGGACAGGCTGATGGCTTCAAAGTCTGGCCGCTCACTAGGTGATGGAATCGTTTTTTCACTGTAACTCTTCCCAGGAAAGAGTGAAGGTGGGAAAGAGAGGCATTGACTGCTAACCTTGATTTTCTGATGGTGTGTCTACAGATTCCTCAAGGGGTATTGTGAAATTCCAAACTGAATTCTTAATATTAAATTTGTTTTTTAAAAAATCTAAAGGTTCCTACCCGACGTTGCACTTCTGAGGCTTACAGAATCTTAGTCCAAGGAGTTTCAGAGATTGTCTAGCGTGATGGGTTTTAAACGTTTTTAACCTTGGAAAGTATTCTTGAAAGTAAATTTCCCACTTGGGTTCCTATCTGTAAAATATATAAAATAAAGCTGGCTTGTTAGAAACAGGAGTGAGGGACCCAGAGCTTCATGTTTCACCAACCCCCAGTGCACACGTGGCTCCTTAGGAGCCTCTTGGGTTTCTGGGTCTTCTGGGAAGAGCATGGGTCTTGTGCAATGTCCTTCCTTCACCCAGTCCTAAAGCCAGGAGCCCCTGTACATCCTGACATGTCATCTCTTCTTGGATAATTTCAGAGTCAAACAGTCACAGGGTGTTGCAATTCTAGGGAGGTTTGAAGTGGCAACCTTAGGGAAACTATCATTTATGACATCTTGGAATGTTCTCATTTAATAGCTATGTGATCCAAGTTCGTACAATCACAAAAGTAGAAGTGATGAACTCAAAGATGTGTGTGTGTTGTTTGTGTGTGTGCAGGAGATAGAGGGCATTGGGTGGTAGTAGGAACCCCAGACACGAAACCCCACAAAAGAGGCATACATAAAAGGTGGTCTGAGGTTTCAGGGACCTGGAGCTGGAAGAGGGAAGTGCCCAGGGTCCCTTGAAAGGGGCCATGTCTTCAGCACTTGGCAGGCGGGCAGAGCAGGGTGAGGATCCGCAGTTGTCTTAAGGCAGGCACCACCTTTTAGAGCCCACTTTTCCCATCTGTGTAAACAGCTACTCTCTCTAGAGGGCCAGAAAGGACGGCTGATCCATGAGAGCCACAGCCAACACCTGCACAGCCCACCGCCACCGACTTCCGCGCACCGCCTCATTCGGTCCTCACAACAACCCTACGAAGTGCTAGGCAGCATTAGCTCCATCCCGCGGATAAGGGAGCTGGGGGTTAGGAGGTTAAGTGGCTTGTGCAAGGTCAGACTGCCTGTAAGAGGCAGAGCCCAACACGGTGCTATTTCCACTGTCCCTCCGAGGCACAACAGAGCAGTGAAAGGAGACAAGGTAGGTGACAGCAAAGTCGATGGCATTTTCCGAGGAAACATTATTTTAAATTCTGGTTTGGGAGAGCCCATGATTTTTGAGCAGGTGGGCAGAATGCAGACACTTTGTGGGATAGATGTGGTGAGATAAAAGTGTGGGAGAGGGTCAAAGCGGAGTGCCCACCAGCTCGCTGCTCCCAGGGAAGGTTCTGGCATCCCACAGGCAGCAGAGCAGAGCAGCCAGGAGCAGGGACCTGGGATCCAAACTGCTGAGGTCTGGATCTCGACCCGGCCACCAATGGCCTGTGTCATCTTGAGTAAGCTGTGTGACAACTGTGTGCTTCAGTTTCCCTAACTGAAATATTAATGAGACTAATAGCACCTACTTCATAGCGTTGTCGTAAGAGTCACACAAATCAGTATTAGTGAAGCTCTTCATTAATGGCCATTATAGTAAAGACCACAAAAGGATTTTTAAATAAATTCCTCGCAGGCTGTGAACTCCTGCCACAGCTGCTTGCAGATAAGCAACAGCAACTTTTTGAAACTTGAAAAGGAGGTTATAATATCCTAGCTTCCTGTTTTCCTGAAATTTGTTACCACAATTTCTGATTCGATGACATTATGAGCTTCACTTTATTGCTAGCTCTTCCCATGCTTTCCTGACTGTCCTCTGGTCATCCCTACTGACGGCCACACCCCTGGTTCCCGGCTCTCCATCCTCCACAGATTCTGTGGCTCGTCAACTGTTCTTGTAGAGCATCAACGTTCAAGCCTGTGGCTTAAGTGTACCTTGGAGTCATGCTAAAATTCTACCAGCAGGTGGAGCTCAAAGAATAGCTTAAAATAAAACTATCCTGATTTAGCAAACCTGGGGAAAAAGGAAGACAAAATCATTCTTTTATGACTGTACGATTTTGCTATTAATTGGAAAGTAAGAGGAAATAAATTCAAAGCAATATAAACAGCGTTAATAAGACAGCGGTTGGCGTTTCCACAGTAGAAGATGATTTACTTAGATTTCCATCTCTAGGGAAATCCAAATTAAGATTTTGATTTTTTACATTCATAAAGATGACAACACACTGCAAGAGTTGAGCTATTTAGATTTGTTATTGTTTTACTTAAGAAAAGTTCAGAATAATTGTGCTTAGTCTATTCAGACTCAAAAATAATATTCAAGGATGTCAATCTGAATGAAACGTTGCAGCTCTGGCCCGAATTCCAGTGAGATGTCCGAAACGGGCTTTCATTTAGAATGTGCTGCTCCCCTCCTTTCTCCCGTAAAAAAATGTGCTAATGTTTAACTACGAAGTTTAGGAAACCTTTCTGGGTTTCTGTAAGATGGGAAGAATATCTCCCACGGATTTTACTTGAATATTCTTAAACTCAAAAGCTCTGCTCATAAGGTATCTTTGGTCGTAGAGACCTGCTGAGGGCTCTGCCCTGAGCAGCAATTTTACCCTGGGAGGAGGATTTAGCTCATCTTTGGTGGACCCAATACTTGGCAAATGATCTTTAAGACATAATTAAGGGAATAAAGAATTCTTGGAGGGGAAAATGGTAGGGTATTAAACGCTTTGTGATGGATCTTTGTGGGGTGTGAGAGATTGGATGTCATTGGATGCTGGATTTATAAAGTGCTTTTCCTCCAAATGATTCAAAGATCTTTTTCATAGGAGCTGCAACTACAAAGCCAGGAGATTGGATCCATACAAACCCCACCAGAATTAAGCCTCACTGCTCTATAACCGCATCATGTAGGTGGTCTTACATATGCAGCATCTCTGAGCAGGGAGCATTGGGCGGTTACTATCCTGATATCTTAGAGGAAAAAAAATGCAGTATTTCCTCAGATCATCTGCCAAAGATCACATTTTCAGTCACTATCAGAGCATGTACTCAAACCTAGGTTTTCTAATTCCAAATACATAGATCATAGACTTAGTTTCTAGGCCGATTTAATAGATGGTCTCCAAGGTCACTTCCAATCCAGGATTTGTCCACTCTGTCATCTATTGACTCTAATGTGAGTACTGGGACTGCGTCAGTTTGTTCCTTTAATCAATTCACCTGGTGGAATACAACCCTTAGAGAGCAAGGTAACCGATGCACAAAGGGTTTGTTTTTCACCTGTGATTTTCACATAACATGTCATGATTTTTGAGCATTACCTCACAGATATAAGAAAATGAGTGAATGAAAATGAAGAATGGAAAAGATACTTTATAATAATGGAGGACTGGCTAAAGAAATTACGGCACACCTATAAAATGCAAAATAATGCAACAAATTTAAATCATGTTCTTCCAAGAGTATTTAAAGTTATAGAAAGCTATTCACCATACATTGCTCTGTGAAAAAAGCAGGTTATGAAACAATGTGTGTCATGTATTTTTAAAGTAGTATACACATAAATAAAAAACTGGAATAATGTGTACCAAAATGTTAATAGTTATTTTCTTTGGAGGGTGTTATCATATGCTATTTTTATTTTCTCCTTTAAAAATATTTTCCCATTTAATCTGTAATTATCAAGGTTTCTATTTATAATCAGAGAAACATGGATTTAATTTCACATAAAATCAAGAAGTTTAAAAGCTTTGTAAAAATAATATAGCATTATTTCCTAGAAAAATTCTCGAGGAGAAAATATTTCCTACCTCATTTCCTTTACTTCCGGCACTGGATTTCATTTCCTTTGGTTGCTTTATAAAAGAAAACAAGAATGTTTAGATGGAGAAGCATTATCAGCTACATATCAAGTTGGTTGTACTATTGTTTGTAGTCATTTTCTTGGCCACAGTTTTGACTTCTAGGACAGTTACCTAGATGTCTCAACCTGATTGAAACCTGACACAGCTGCCCAGATTTAACAGAGAGGAGCTTCCTGTTTCATCTGACGGGATGCCACTGTAGAAACTTTCATTGAGATTAGTGAGCAAGTTGGCAATACCACTAAGACTGTGTTTTTCAGCCAACATTTTCAAAAATGGAAATCATGCTAGGATCTTTTAGAATCTGTTCAGCATTCCTTTGTGCCTGGAAAGTATCATTTTAGCTAAGCTGTGGGCGATGATTCCCAATCCTGTGAAACCAAGTCTAACACAGAGGCCTGGGGTGATAAGCTGTGGGGCAGTGTGGTCACACAGCACAGTAAGCTATTAAATGACATCAGAGTGGAAGAAGTCTTATACAGAAACTGTGCATTGATATAGATTACTGAATGGCAAAAAGAGGCAGAAAAAATTGTACAGTGTGTATGATTTGATAGCACTTCTTACAAAAGTATTTGTCTATTTTAGAAAAAAAGAACAAAAACATAAAAATGAAGATATTAATAGCATTACCTCAAAGTAGTACAGTTATAGGTGATTTTTAATTTTTAAAATTTTGCTTCTCTTATTTTATACATTTATTTTTGTATTAAAAAGCAAGAAGTTATTATGCATAAGATAATGTGAAAACGCTTTGCAAATAGAAGAGCACTGTAAAAACTAAGGTTTTGCACTTTTTGGTGTGTTATGTGTCTTTCCTTTACCATGTAACTGTTTTGGGAGATAGACATTTCTAAGTTAAGGATTCTTATGACTTTACTTATTACTAAACATGGCCCAAAGTTCCTTGAGGACAGGAATTGAGTCCAACCAAAAATTGTTAGGTACAAGGATGTCTACAATATATGACTCTTTATTACATTTTATT